CTCAAAAATTGACGATAACGATAATTATAAAAAGGAAATGAAAATTGCACAGAATGGAAAGCGGGATATAAACCATCAAAAGCTTGCCCAAGCCAAATTCTTTTTAATTTAGTCAAAAATGTAATATAGGTTTGTTACATATAGCTAGGATATGAATTAATTAGTGTTTATGAATTATAAACAGTTTAGGCAAATATTTGACGACTCGCGGTCTATCATTTTTTATTTTAATTCATCATTGATCACTGGGGATGTGAAACTAGGTTAATTAAATTCATATTTGATATTTTCAGAACAATTGCATGGCCATCTACCGTTGTTTAGTGATTTTTGTCGTTGCCTGTATCAGTTAACCAACTATATTATCAGCAACCATCTCATATGGGTTGATTATTTCGATATTGTTATAGTGCAAATATTACATTCCCATCATTGAAAATTCTTATTACCCATACTCCGTCCCATCACTCACGATTCATCGCTGATCATTTGACTACTTTGTTGCCATGGTAATGGTACTCTCCTGTCACTGAATGATAGAAATGGCAAACATTGAAGCACAATTTGTATTTGAGCACGGCTTAGCATGTTGGTAAATGTCGTTCAAGTTGAAACTCGATCATATACCTTGGTAACTATGAAATACATTTTGGTATCAGTTTAGTCACATCCACAGGCAAGCAGATGAATAGACACAGCCAGTGGATGTTTTCTTAGTTTTGTATTTCGATGATATCGCAAGACTGAGCATTTTGTTGGTTGTGATTTTAATAAGAGTTGATACAAGAGACAAAGTGAAAAGATATTGCTCTTTAAAGAAGAAGAGAGTGAAATGGACCCTCAAAACCGAAGAGTTTGACACTTGATATCTACAGGTTTTATTTGATTAGAATAAAGAGGAATCGCTTTGATAAGGAGTCGCGTGGAACGCAAAATAAGATGAATTTTGGAAACACGACATCATTGACCAGCGATGGAAGCGAAGACGAATTGGACGATGTCATCGGAACTTCAGCCAACATCCCGTTCCTTCTCGTCATGATAGTCTTAACATTGACGGGGTTGATCGGTAATGTCCTGGTCATCGGAGCCGTGTTCTGCCATGAGAAGCTCCACCTTCTCAGCAGTATCTTCTTGGTGAACTTGGCGGTGGCTGACCTCATCGTGTCCGTTGTCATCAACGGTTTCGGAACCTTTAGCCTGGTCAACGTCCACTTCTTCGATGACAAACCGGTCATGTGCGAAATCATCGGCATCGTTTGTGTGACGTGGTAAATTTCTTCTTTATTTCTAGTCATCTAAACATTTCCCCCTCCTATTCCTTCCATTAGAATCGAATATTCGGTAAAACACGATGAAAATGATAATCATTCGAGAGTAAAGGAAAAGTGTAAAGTCTTTGCTGTGCTTGCTTTGAAAGAAAAAAATAAAGGAAGATAGTTCAACGGGATAAACTCAGACTATAAAACTGGTTAGCAAAAACGAGGAGAAAGAGAGGAAGAAGGAGAAGACAAAGAAGAAGAAGCAGAGAAAAAGTCAAATAAGAAGGAGAAGAAGAAGAAGAAAAAGAAGAAAAAAGAAGAAAAAGAAAGAAAAAGAAGATATGGAGGATTGCGATATTTCCGTTCATTATTATGTAAAACTTATGACAGAATGTGTACAGATCTGCGAATATTGAAGAAGACAAAATGGTTATTTGCCTCATTGACCTATAGTAATGGCAAATTGTGAGCCTCACGATCGATCATTGATTCCAAGGTATTGGTATTTAACCCTCATCCGGAATCATGACGTTTCCAATAGAAATTTAAGGAAACAAAACAAAATAGTGTGGACAAAATGTTACAATTATTTTTTTTATTGCTAAATTGCTAATGTTAAAAATGTGACATTTCTAAATCTAGGCTCTACTCGATTTTACGTTTTGCATTGTTAGGTATTTGTTTCTTTCAAAATTGTCAATCGTATCATTTTTGTGGGCGTTAAGGTTTTTCTCAATTACTCATGTAATGACTAAGAAATATTGGTTCATACTTGTAGTTGCTTTATAAGTTCAAGAAAATTAAAACTTCTTTATCTTAATTCTGATTTTTCTTAACGGCCCGTTTTATTTCACCTTCATCATCCGATGATAAACAATGAAATGAATATGAAATAAATGTAAAAGGTCGCAAAAATATCTTTTTACATTGTAACCACGCCAGCAGAATCTCATCGCTGACAGCAAATCAATCAAATTGTCAAAGAAATCCCGACCTAAAGCTAGATTTTTATAATAATATTAATAATAATTCCGCTTTTATATAGCGCTTAATACATCTATGATGTCTCTAAGCGCTTTACAGATATACTATTATATTAGAATTACCGGTATATTATGAGATAAGATGCGTGCAATACTTTAAAAGGAGCAGATTAAATTTGTACAAAACTAGAATGCCCGATCGATAAAAACACGAGGTGAAGTTAAAAGGGAACGAATAACAAAGAAACAGAATGAGGCGAAAAAAACAAAAAGAGAACGAGCAAGATGCAAACAAGGGGAAAGATCGAAAGGGGATTGTAAAAAGATTTGCAAAGAATTATAAAGGACTTTAATAGAGAAAAGAAAGGGGACGGGATGAAGAGAGAGAGCAAGAAAGAGAGAAAGAGAGAGGGAAGAGAGAGGAAGAGAGAGAGAGAGAGAGAGAGAGAGAGAGAGAGAGAGAGAGAGAGAGAGAGAGAGAGAGAGAGAGAGTAATCTTTTGACAAAACAAGACTCAAATTAGGAATAAAATTGGCAAAAACTTGGTCGGACACGATAAACTGGTTTTACTAACATATTCCAATAATTTATGGATGTTTCTTTCCTCGAACCCCCCACCCCCACCCCCTCCCTAAGGCTCCCTGGTTCCTCTGGCTAGGGCAAATATTTCTACGAACATCAAATTTTCAATAGATGTTGATATGGAAGATCATGTAAATATAATCTGAATATATCTCTTTAAAACAAATCATGTTATGAAAAATCATGTACCTCATGATTATCATGAATCTTCGAAAACCACTGATTTGATTTGTTTTCCCTTTTTTTTTCTTCTGCATTCATGTAAGTACACAGTATTTTGATAACAATAATGATATAAAGTACAATAAGTATTTTCCTAACAATGAACCATAAATGAGCATATATATATATATATATATATATATATATATATATATTTATATAATAATAATAATAATATATAACAATTGTTATTTTCAAAAACGAAATTATAAACTGTCACAAAAACTAAATTTATTTGTGGAAGAAGGACTATCATTGTAAGCAGGTTGCTTAAATTTAAATTTAGATTTTTCTATATTTCATTTTGTTAAGTTTTTTTTATTCATGATAAATAAAACAAATTAACAAACTGAAATAAAGATAATTTTAACGAAGCTCATGCAATATTTGGTTCATAATTACTAATATTTAGTAATTGTAAGTTATAATGTATTCAAATCCTAAAATGAAATTCGATGAATACATCTGTTTTTATCACGAGTAGAGTAAAAGAAAAAAGGAAAACGAAAGGAGAAAAGGAAAGACACAGGGAGATGGAAAACAGATAGAAAGAAGAAAAAACAACTACAAGACTTACGAGAATAACGAGAAGGGAGAAGGAACATGTACAAAAACGTTTATGTTATTTGTTTGATGATGACTGTTTAACTTGACTGCTACGGAAGCATGTATATGCTTTTAAGGAAAGAACCAGAGGAGTGCCGGCTTTAAGTCCTCTCCGAGGGACTTCGTTAAGAGCACGAGCACATTTAGTTGATTTTAAACCCGGGACCTCCCAGTTTCGAGACCACTGCTCTATTATATCACTGACCTATCGCGCCTCTTCTTTCTCACATTCATTGAGGGAGAGAGAGAGGCCAAAAGAGATAAACAGAGGAGGGAGACAGAGACAGATATACAGACAGAAAGAGATAAAGAGAGAGAGAGAGAGAGAGAGAGAGAGAGAGAGAGAAGAGAGAGAGAGAGAGAGAGATTATAAGAAACAAAAAAACAAATATGCGCGCGCGCACACACTCGCATACAGAGAAAGAGAAAGATGAAGAGAGCAAAATAGAAAGAGAGACTGAAGGAGAAAAGTAAAGAGAGAGAGGGAGAGAGAGAGAGAGAGTGGATGAGAGAGTGTGAGGGAAAGAGAGAGAGAGAGATAGGGGAGAGGGAGAGAGAGAGAGAGAGAGAGAGAGAGAGAGAGAGAGTGAGAGCAACACGCTTGTGACGTACCAGTCTTGCGTATGCATCTATCCGAATTAGAGATCATCAGGCTCCACGACAACATCCTGGAGGTCTATTAAGACAACTTCTCCTGCTAAACTCCCCGCATCTTCAACTATCGCATTTCATCCCTCCGCTCTCATCCTCCTAATGAATACCATTCGTTCGGAGCTCCAAGGAATCTCTTCTTGAACTCTGTGTTGAATAGGGAATACCATATCCATCTCCGCGGATTATATTTTCGAATGAATTTTACATTAAATGACTTACGCGACACATCGATTTAGTTGATTGTTTGCTTGAACACCAATTTGAAGTTGTTATTTTAAGTGCAGATGACAACTACAGTTCGGATTCCATGCAAGATCGGAACACACAATTTTGGAGGAGCACAACAATCTCGAGTGGTGCGTTAACACACTCATAATCAGAATCCTGGATCTTGCGTCCTGTTAAACATTGAACAAGAAAAAAAATGGGTTCTGATTTTCATTTCAAATGAAGACTCTCCATATTGCCATCGCGTGATTTTATGTATGGGATATGAGAGATTCTATTTTCAATGAGCTTGATTTTATACCACATATTCATTTCCAAAAAGAGTGGTATAAAATGGATGAGCTGTTTTATTGAACATTTCGTGTGTGCAAGTTATTTCATCAACCACGCTTTTAGCCGAGTAAATCACATTTAACTGTGTGACCACTGTACCTAAGTTCGTAATCATTTATTGACGACCAACATGGATCTTTACTACAACTCGACGTTACCTCCAGACGACATCACCATCATCGGCCAAGTCTTCAGCGACGATTACGACGACGACATCGAAGAGGTGGTTGGATCTTCGTACAGCGTCCCCCTCCTCGTCGCCTACATCATGTTCGCCCTCTTTGGATGTATTGGGAATATTCTCGTCATCGGCGCCGTGTTCGTTCACCATAAACTTCGTGTGCTTAGTAACACCTTCTTGGTCAACCTGGCGGTCGCCGACCTCAGCGTGTCAGCGGTCATCAACGGATTCGGTATACTTGGTCTCGTCAATGTCCGGTTCTTCGAAGACAAGCCAGCGCTCTGCGAAATCATCGGCATTGTTTGCGTAACAAGGTATCAATCATTATCATGTTTACCTCTTTAAAATGAATTACAATTAAATTACAGAAAAAATTACCTCTTAATCATTTTGGCACTTCACTTTAAACGAAATATGATTGTAAATGTACACGTTTAGATTTGCAACATTCCCTTTTGCATGAATAGAAGGTGGCATGTGTGATATAGGAATAGTTAAAGCCGAACAGATTACTAATACAAATTATGCGAAATGAAAGGAAGTGAAATCAAACTCTTACCAGAAATAACGTTTAAATTACGATTCTAAATTTTCTCTAAAGATATACTCATCGTAAAGGAGTAGACGTAATAGAAAATCTGATATTTGCTATCTTGATTCGCTCACTGTTCAACTCCGTTTCATTATGCTGATGTAGAATGACCTAATTTACTAAGGTTTCATACAGTTCCTCTTTCTTAATGACATAATAGAATGTGATTGGGGAAATGTCCTTCTGACACTGGCTTTCAAAAAATAAATCAATTCCAGGTACCTGTATTCCCTTTAATATTACCCCCCCCCCCTCGAATTTGCCTCGTAGCTATACGTCCAGCCAATCCCTAACCCAGTTTAAAAACATCTTGCCACCCTCGACTGCCCTCCTCCTATACGCAAGGCCTTGATACCCCCATGACAATGAGCAAATCGATCCCTCTTTCATGCAGAATATTTTACTGTAAAAGGTACATGATTTATCAATCATGTTCAAATATGATATGTAAATCAATTTAATGTTTCGACAGCTGATATTTATCAATCCTAATGAATGAAAATGGACAGTAAAATGATGACCACGCTCACGGTCGTTTGTTTTGTTCAATGATATTTATGTTGAGTCAGCTTAGAACGCTTTTCAAGTGTAAGGGATGCAGTTAAATTTGTGTTTCAGTACGTTCCTTTCTTTCTTTCTTTATCTCTTTGGATGGAGATCTATCGAACTTGTAATTTATGTTTTAACATTCTTTTAATTATTTTGATTTTATCTGCCTCAACATTTATCATATACTTTTCAATTATGATAGAAATAGCACAATCAAAGGAAATATACTTCAGGAAGGTTGTAGTCAGATACACTGTAAAAAAAGAATTTGTTCATTGGTAATTTTTACGTATTTTTCCATGTAGAATTTACTTGAAAACATTAGTTTTGCCACTTACGCACTAAATTTAAGTCTTGCTAACTCAAACTTTCAATTTAGTAGAACATACGTGGAATATTTAAGTAAAATCAAATACATAAGAACTTTAAGTAATTTCAGCTTGTATTAATTTAGTAATTTTAACTCAAAATCAGAAATTATACGTATTACTCAAACAATTTATGTTGATTATTCTTATCTTTTTAAAGTAAGGACCGATGCAGTGCGTAATAGAAATATTTACATAATTTATGAATATTCATTAAGACCAAATTAAACTCTTTTTTAAATAAAACAATTCTTTTTTGTGGTTGAATGAAAATTTAAGGACTTTAAAACATTTACTAATTCATTTAACATGGCTAAGCAAAGACAAGACAATTTTTAATTGTTACCCAGTTCAAAACAAATCAAAACTTGATATTTCAGGAAATTGTCAACCAATTTTTCTTTTAAGATGCTACGATCAAGTATATATAAAATTTGGAGCCTTTCAATATGTGTCGAATTGAAGCGTGTGTTAGTGATTAGTGATTAATCTTAAATAGAAGTAGTGAATGATTAGTGGATGTTACTTGGTAGATTTAATGTAACTCGATTTAACTGAGTAAAAATTTATTCAGCAAAATAAGTAAACTCTACTTAAGATGCCGTAAGTAATATTTACTTAATAAAAATAAGGCAATTCTTTTCCTCAATTTTATTGAGTTATTTCGACTATTATTTTTTTACAGTGTAGTTTCCAGTATTAGTCTTTAAAAAAAAAATAATAATAATAGTAGGAACACTTATAACGCTCCGGTTTCCATCACTGAGCAATCCATTAGGGATGCTCATGGCGCATAGTCACATGAACATGAACAAAGTGAAATCGGGTATGGTGGCTCAGTGGTAAGAGCGCCCGCCTCATAAACGGGAGGTCGTGGCTAATAACATAACGTAGTAATAACATATTATGTTATGCAGGGCCCGCTGGAAGAGCAGTTTCATAATTGAAGTGGCTATCCGTTATTATTATTATTATTATTATTATTATTATTATTATCATTAGTATTATTATTATATGATACACTACCCTTAATATTTAGCAATATGTGACATTGAACAAGTTTGTCTTGAGTGCGGTTTTCAATTCATTGACAGATAACAGATTACGAATAGATTGGGGCAATTTGTTCCAAAGTAATGGACCGGCATGTGAAAAAGCTAGGGTAATAATTTCCAAAGCTCTCTCAAAGTACATAGAGACGTTATGCGCTTTTCAAAAACCGAATATTATTATTATATTATCCCCCCAAGGATTTCGAGTTTGCGGTACAACCAATAAAGATGAATTTGATGATCTGAGATGTCTAGAAGAATTGTATAGGTTAATCAAACTACGATTATGCTGAGGGGCAGACAGGTCTATTTCAAGAATAAAATACAAGCATGATTAACTTATAATCTATATATTGAACAGGAGGCCAATGAAGAGACTGTAATACTGGCGTTATATGGTTTCTCTTAGGGGGACAAAGGATATTAAAGTGACTTGGTAACATTGTTGAAGGTTGATGAAAGAATTGCTTAATTTTTGTATAAAATGTTACTTACTATATTCCTTCTACTGTACTAATCCTCTGACACGCAAAGAATCCTGAAAAAATGCTCAAACCACGAAGATATCTATGGTTTCTTTGAAGTAGTCGATGTATGACACCCTCTAACAGTGATTAACAGTAAATTCTCCCAACCATTTATGAATTTTCCCAACCGTTTTTCCATGAAAAAGAGACATAAAACATGCACTGCAGGCTACAAAAAAAAAATGTCAACACTTAAATGTCTGAAATGGAATGTAGAGCCATTTAATTGCTTTGTGACGATTTCCATTCACCTAAAATGTAATTAAATTGAAATAATATATACAATTAAGGAACTTCGATCAGATCATTTTTTTCCAATTTGTACCATGAATAATGGTCCGTTTTCACTCAAATTTTCAGATTATCTTTAATTGTACATCTAGCATTGAAGTCACTACCTTAGCACCGCTATCTCTCATCTGAACAATGTTATCAAGTCCCTTTAAACAGACGAGCTGCGGTGTTTTGTAATTGCTAAACATACTGTGGAGGAAGCTAACAAGGGCAAAATCTTGTTGTGTATATGATACCTGCTTTGTATAGAAAAAAACAGGCAAAGACAAAGTGAGAACAAATAGGGAAATTTATGATTATGATGAAGAGAGAGAGAGAGAGAGAGAGAGCGCGCGCATGTGTGTGTGCGTTTGTGAGGGTGTGTGTGTGTATACGAGAGAGGAATGGAGAGAAGAAGAAAAAGTAGAATTAGAGAAATAAATATGACTGTAACTTACAGTTGTATATCTTTCTACATTACATCAATAATTCTAAAATGCTCGTTTAAAAATCATTTTTTAAATTTGAAATTGTGTTTATCATAAACCTGAAAATCCTGGCAAAATTACAACTTTACTACGAGCAATGTCGGTTTAAAAGGCTGGAAAATGAAAAAAACTTCTAAAATTATCTTCCACATATTTAACCAAAATGTCGTATTAATGTTTAGGAGATCAAAAGAAAGAGGAAAAGTAAGTTCGCAATTCAATTTCCCCTATTTATAAGAGAGTATCTTTCTTAGTTTAAATGTTAAAACAAGATATCTCATTCGTCGTTGGCTGTTGGTCTTGTTATGGTTTTATAATTGGTCAATTCAATAAGAAGTATATGAACATAATATATTATTTTATTTTCTTCATAATGATCTCGGAAGAAAACTATGCAAGATATATATGAAAGTGAAGCTACCAAATAGAAGAACCAGAAGTAACATCTCTCTCATGTTTCTTCATACGAAGAGAGAGATGAGTCGGGCTGGGACGTTATTAACACCGCAGGGCAGAGATACAACGACCAACTTTCAGATTCAATATCATACTTAGCAGTTGTTCAATAATGTTGCCTCTCTAACATTCAGACCGCTATACCAATAAAAAGTTCACGATCCATTGCTGTTTCTTTGCGCTTAAAACCTAGGCAAAACAATCAATGTTTTGAGGCAAAAATCTTATTGATTTCCAGTGGCATAGCATGGGTCGTGCCATCGAGGGGGGGGGGGGGGGTAGGTCTTACTCGATAAATTAAATGCAAATTATTACACCCCAACGACTTGGAGGGGCGGGTTAGTTTTTATCCAAAAAAAATATTTTCTCCCCATTCTCGTGCCCTGTTTACCCCCTCCCCCCTTGCGGTATTCGATTGGGGGCGGGGGACTTGCCAATACAATAAAACCACCGTTTAATCTCCAAGGCTTTGAACCATGGAGTTATTTTTAGACCCTTTTTTTCTTTCATTTAACAAAAATCAGAAGTGTCTCATTTTTTAAGCAGTGTTCTAACAATCATGACAGTGCACAGCAAGGGATTGCAAGTGGGGTTTGTCAAGGTTAAATGGTACCTGAGAAGGTTAACTAAATTAGAAGGACTACATAGCTGCTCTATTTGTTTAATAAAGGAATCTTTTGAGTGACTGAGCGAATGTGAAAGCCAGCAACACCACCGCGTAGAATCCTCTATACACAAGAGAAATAAAGAATTACTGCCCTTGATGTGGGAATATGATATTAAAAGTAAGCAAAATATACTGCCTTTTTCATCGCCCCAAGGAGGTCAGTTGTCATAAAAGCAGCAAGAATGGAAAACAACATTATACCCCACCTTGATTTTTGTTTAAAGATCGGATTTTTTGGTTTCTTTTGCCGTAATTGCTAATGACAAAATGTTTTCCCCATTTAATGATGTCGGTGAAGGTTGATTGTAATGCAGCAGTGTCTGCACGAGAGCTCATATTTTT